CTGGCTCCCTCTGGATTGTAGTTACCGCCCGTCCCCCTGTGTGTGTGATGGGCGAGAAACTGCCCCGCACGTCGATCCCAGCAGCCCAGCGAGATTATTAGAACTGGTCCCCTGCCAGGAGAATCCGACCCTGGATCATCATTGCGCCTGGTGTGCCAGCTGCCCAGCGCCTCGTCCCTCGGTTGGCAGGAGGGTTCCCTGCTGATACACTGTAGGTCGGAGGTGATGGTGGGGAGCCAGGACATTCCTGACGCTGCTCTAATGGTTCAAACGCTTCCCAAGCTATAAAGTGTATTCTCTCCTTTCCCTTCCCTGCGTGCGGTTATTTCTCCCCTTGCCTTCCTCTCCCCATCTCTTGCTCATCCAAGGAAGCTCCTGATACTGTTTATATGCTTTGGTTAGTCGCTAAGGTGCTACAGGACCATAGTTGTGTTTTAAGTTTCTTAGTTCTTTAGTTCAATTATTTTGAAGGACCATCTTTTTTTATTTGGTCTCTGTTAAGTTCTCAGGGAGACCTTCAGGTACCGGCAAAGGAGTTTTAACTTTTGAGTAGGTGAGAAGAGCTTGGAGAAAAACCTGGTAGAAAAAACTGGATATTGTTTCTTAATATTCCCCATTGTAAATTAATATTAGTATTTCCTGCTCCGAATTAATATGACACTTTACAAATATTGCCAGCCCTATAATGGTTACAGGCTCTAAGATACAGCAGACCCAGGACAGCAGTGTGAAAGAGAGAGTGGTTACTAGGGTGAAGAAAAAGGAAGGCAGGGTCTTGGAAGAAGAGTGTTTTTTTGGGGGGGTGGTGGTGGTCGTGAAGCACAAGAATTAGAAAATGATTCAGGGATGTACAGGACATAATGCTGAAACTAGGAGCAAATGAGTTGTGTTAGGGCTGAGATTATAGGAGTTTGAACTTGATGTGATGGGAAACAAGAAGCCAGTGAAAAGATTCATAGGGGAGTGGCAAAAGAGTAAAGTGGCTTTAAATAGTTCGGAGAAGGACAGAGAACCAAGTTGCAGAAAATGTGTTAGGCCATGTCTTTTGATCAGTGGTTTTGCATGAAGGAAGATGCAGAAAGGAAAACTCTCAAGACTAGAACCCAAATGTATTTTTTTATCTTACATTGAGACGTGAAATAGTGATGGTTTTCATTTAACTTTTCAACAAAAGCACTGAGAAATTCAGAGGTCTTTATTTATTAAACACTTCAAGTTAAATACAACTGCATTCCTGAAAGGGAACAGAGGTGGACTAATGGGCCAATCTGGACTGATGTTCTTGTATTTAAGGGCCTGGTATTAGATAGATTTTTATTTATTTCAACTTTGAACATCTGATTTAACAAATGTAATTTTGCATGGCCCTACTAAGTAGCTGTGGATGATGGAGCACATCCAAACTGCAGGGGTTGCATTGACTCAAGGAGTGATGCACTGGATGTTATCCCACAGTCCTTGCAGCAGATTGGAATTCTGGGCTAGGGTCCCAATGCCTTATGGGATGAAAACATGGTTGCGGGTAGTTATGAGTTCATGTTGTCAGCCTCCCATGTCTGTGGCTCAGAAACAGCCTTGCCCTGTTGTGTGCTTGTTTAACCTCCTTTATTTTCATGCGGCATTGCTGCACTTCCCTGGTGTAGCCTTTATCAACTTTTCCCTGTGAAATACTGGCATAGATATCAGTGTTTCTTTTGCTGGTTAAGAGCTCTGCCTGCACAGACTTTCTTTCCCCTCCCCAGCAATCAGATCCACTATCTCTTGAATGCTTCATGTTGGAGGTGTTTGTAACCCTGGGCATGCATGCTCAGCTGTGTTGGTGAGCTTTTCATGGTGCTGCAATGGGAAATGAATATTTAAAAGTTCCCAGGGCTTGGCTCACTTGGCTGAAGAGCATTGGAGTTCAAAGCACTCGTCAGCAATGTTTCCTCTAATCTTTCTATCCATGTGTGGATTTTTTCCATGCAGCTGTGGAATATTTTTTTTGGTGTGCACCATGGCATGTGTTTATGTTCACTACCAGTAGAAACAAAAACCTAGCAGTGGTGCTCTGCTAATCAGCTGAGCAGCATTTGAGGCTGCACAAGCGCACATCTTACAGTGAACACTGCTTGCTGGGGTGTTTACAATACGGTACAGGTGACTGGTACCTCCGGGGTGAGTGAGGAGGTGCAGGGAAGGCTACCCAGAGGGACATGGAGAGGGCATGAAGGGACATCCCGGTTAGCAATTAAAATTTTGGCAGGGCATAGTTAATGCTACCAGGAGTCATCTATGCACACCTATGCAATAGAGTACTCTGGATCATCATCTGGACACCAGTAACTGAGCACTTAACTTTATACTGCTCTTAATTTGAGGTATGAATATTGCCTCAGGCTTTACTCAGGTTCAGGTGGAGTACAAGGGTAGATTTTAAAAGCTTTTAGGTCAATGGGAGGGACTGAGCAACAGGGCCATTCCTAGGGGAGAATGGGGTCTGGGGTAATCCCCCTCGCTCCCCCTCCCCAGGTACGAGGCCCTGGGCCTTTTCCAAGCTCTGCCCCTGCACTGCTGCCTTGCTTCCTCCCAGAGCAATGCAAGCTGGAGTATTATGGGGCCTGCCACAGAGTGGCAGAAGGGGTAGGATCCCCCTTCCCACATTCACCATGGCAGGAAATGGAGTTCTCAGGGGCCAGGGTGTTTTGCTTCCTGCTGTCATGGTGAAATGGAATGCAGCCGGATGAGAGAGCAGTGTGGCAGAGCAGGCTGCTCGACCACTCTGGCTCCTGCTATAACGGTGAGTGCTGGAGGAAGGACGCCAGCTGCTACCCTGCTCCAGGCCTTGTAATCCTCCTCACCCTTCCTATTGATAGGACGGTTGAGGTGACTGCAGCAGACTCCTCCTCCCCACCCCCTCCAAGCATGGGACCTGGGGTGGCCACCCTGAATCCTCTTATGGATGGGATGCCTCTGCTGGGCACTGTAGATACATTCTTTACAAATTTCACCTAATGCTGAATACATTGACCTAAGCTCATAGTGTAGACCAGACGTTTAGTTAAGGATCCAAGGCCACCCCCCTATGTTGTTGTCATAGCTCTGAAATGTGCTGAGTGGATTTTGTCTCTGACCCTTAATGCTGAGATCCTTTGGGTGTCTGTCATATGAATGTTTGTTGACTTCCATAATCACCTGAAGGGAGCTTGTTATGGTCTGCTCACCAAGTGCTTTATTACGGGTGGTTAACAATGAGTGTGATTTGTGCTGCAATTTGTTATAGTCCCCTTTGAGCCATTATAGAAAGTGCAGTAAATACATAATTAGGGGCTCAGTCTACTTTTTCCTGTTTTCACAATTGCTATGAAACAGTTGAACACATGCAGCTGAGTCCAGTGCAAAAACAGGATGTCTGAACCTACTTTGCCATCCTGCTCTGGTGTTTTAAAAAGACAGTGCCAAGAAATCTCTTAGAGTTGGTATCTCTTTACTTTTTTTTAATTATTATTATGTTTGCATATAATGCTTCCAACAGTAAAGCATTAATTAAATGTCAGTCTGACTAGAATAGGCTTACGCTATTTTTTAATGAACATAGAATATAAGCATCACTGTTGATAAATATCACTCCTGTCCTGTATCCTTTCCTATTTTAGTCCTTGTGACCAATGTTCCCTCTAATTTTTTTCCATCCATATGCAGATTACATTTTGATATGTGCATTGAGGCATGTGCGGATGTGCACCACTGGTAGAAACTAGGGGTGTGAACGTGTATCCATGTACATAATTAACTGATGAGCCTAGTATTTTGGGATATACTTTAAATGCATAGCTGCAGCAGGGATAGCTGCCAGGAACTAGCACGAGCCGGGACTGAGTCAGCGTGCCTGCCTGCCTGCCAGCTACCAAGGTCCATTCAATGCAGAGCTGCAGCAGTTAATTGTGTAACCTACAAAATTTTTGTCAGATTACCAATTTACATGCTTCCTAACATCTCTAATATCCACATGCTAAATTTGTCTTTTAGTAGTGTGAGCTCACGGGACAGTTGTAGTCTTTATTTGAAGAGAATATGTTGTTTCCTCTCCTAAGTACTGGCCTTCTCTAGTGCTGTTATGTACAGAGCCTGCTAAGGGGTGGGGGTGCAAGGAGAGTGGGAAAACATTTCTCCCTCTTTTTTGGAACAGAAAGTAGTTACTCAGGTTCCACCTTAATGTGTAAAAATTATGACTTTGCTATGGAATGGCTCTGCTTAAATCCCTACCATCTGAGGGACACGATGGACCAAATCATCAGAAAGTGTAAATTGACGTAGCTCTCCTGACATAATTATGCCAGTTTATAGTAGCTAAAAATCTGTTCCGGTGCATTTTAGAGAGATGAGATGGGCGGGTAATTTTATTTATAGGACCAACTTCTATTGGGATGAGGGACAAGCTTCTGAGCTGTTAGAGCTCTTATTCAAGGCTACACTGCACAATCATAGGAACTGATAGATTCCTTTCAACTAACATGATTCCTCAGAGTCCAGACGACTGTGACTCCTCTTGGTGTCTTTTTGTATCCAAAAGGGAAGGAGACAGAGCTGGTATAGTATATAAATATTTATAATCTTTGTCTACAGCAGGGCAGAAGATCCTTCTGATTGAGTCTACTACCATTTAGATGTTTAAGGTCAGGTTTTTAGCATTCTGTGGGCAAAACATGTATGTGCAAATAGTGTGATGGCCTATGCCATCACAGAGACTTCACAGACAGTTAAAAATATCTAGACCTTGATGTGTGACTATACTTAAAGGGCTACTTGGATGTTATGTGACTGGGTTGCAGATCTACATGTCATTACTATAACTGCAAATTCAGGGATTGCTCAAACAGACAATTTATCTATTTGCATGTGCAATTATTGTGTTCCACAACCATGCAAATCACATTAGGAAATAAAGTGTACAAACCTGCAAATGCAATTCTGAGACCTTCTGCTCGTATTTGTGTGTGCATGTAGATAGCCATGTGATGTTGATGAGTGGTGCAATTAAATCTTTCCTCTAGTGCTTTGAAAATGCAGGGGGGCTTTCTCATGAATCAAGTTATTAGCTTGTGAGGAGAGCAAGCTTGTGTAGCTGGCTATGTTGTAAAGCTGTGGAATGGTAAAGTTCCAGTCTTGTGCATCTTCCTCAAAATTCCTTGCTGAATTTGTATTCCATGATCTTTTTTACTGTTGGCACCGTCTCAAGTGGGAAAAAAACCCAGCATGGTTTCCAGAAACCAGCTTGTGCCTGCAAGTGCTGAGACTTAGAAAATTTCTTCCCTGACTTGTAAACTGAGCATATCTGAGCATTAAAGAAATTGGTGAGGACAAAGTGATTTAGAGCATTTAAGAAACTGTTATTGTATTATTTATTGTATGTTCAATTTGCAGTAATAACTAGAGGCTTTGATCAGAATCAGGATCCCTTTGTCCTTGGTGCTGTACAAGTGCCAAAGGTGACATGGTTTCAGGCCAAAGGAGTTTGCCATCTAAAAAGGCAAGCAACATAGGGTATGTCTGTACTTGCACCCTCTTTCGAGAGAGGGATGCAAATGAAGACATTTGAAATTGCAAATGAGCTGGGATTTAAATATCCTGCACTTCAGTTGCATAATCGCATTATGGCACTATTTCGAAATAGCACTATTTTGAAATAACAGACGCTGTTAAGATGCAGTTATTTCGAGAGAAAACCCTTCTCTCGAAATAACTGGTAAATCTCATTGTATGAGGAATAAGGGTTATTTCGAGAGAAGGGTTTTCTCTTGAAATAACTGTGTCTTAGCAGCTGTTATTTTGAAATAGCACTATTTCAAAATAACGCCATAACGTGATTTTAAATCCTGGCTTCATTTGCAATTTTGAATGTCTTAATTTGCATCCCTCTCTCGAAAGAGGGTGCAAGTGTAGACATACCCATATAGAGGGTAAGGAAAGGGATATAATCAAAGGTAAGGGCTTGTGTAGATTTTCTTTTTATATATATAAATATATAAATATTGTGTCTCTCCAACTGTCTGTAGATGTCATTAGTCAGCTGGCTGCTTGTATTTTTTGTACAGTCACTTTTCTTACTGCTGCTGAGGTTTTCTAAAGAGCCAGATTTCCTTTTATTCTTCCTTCTTGTTATAATGGTTGGTTTCTGAAGGAGGTGGAAGATCTGATGACACATTATAAGTTAAACATATCAAGACATATGGAATATTGGGGACATTTGTGATCAGAGTGAATCCCATTTATTATGGCCTTTAAATTTTGGTCTTCAAAGCAATAACTTCTTAAAAATAAATTAACTGTGGAACCTCCAAGATGCATCTAACGAAATGATCATATTAGAAAAAAACTTTTAGAAAAATATTAGAAAAAACTTCTAAAAACTAGTTACAGACTAACTCAGCTACCCCTCTGAAGCACTAGTTCTGGTTTCCTGCTCTTTCTCCTCCTTTCTTGCCAAATGCTTATCTTCTGTTGTCATGCAATTTTGCAGGATCTGGTCGTCTTCCTGTTGAAGTCCATGTCAGAATTTTCACTGATGCCAATGGGAGGTCAATCAGGTCCCTTAGAAAGTAAGCTAAGATAGGGATTCTGTTACTCCTTTTCCAGGTTTGTTTATGGTGTTGTATAAATAATACTCTTATATCATAGAATCATGGAAATGTAGGGCTGGAAGAGACCTTGACAAGTCATTAGGTTCAGCTGTACTGAGGCAGTACCAAATAAATCTGGATCATACCTGATGTGTGTTTCTTTAACCTGTTCCTAAAAATCGACAATGATGGGGATTCCACAGCTTCCTTTGGAAGTCTATTCTAGAACTTAACCATCCTTACAATTATAATTTTTTTTCCTAATATTTAACCTAAATCTCCCTAGCTGCAGATTAAGCCCATTACTTCTTGTCCTACCTTCAATTGTTCTCCATGGCTATGTCTACACTGGCGCGATCTTGCTCCAGAGATATGCAAATGAGGCTAAGCGTGGAATATCACCGAGCCTCATTTGCATATCTAATGAGCCACCATTTTTGCAGAAGAGGCTCTTTGCGCCAGAAGGAGCTGTCTACACTGCTCCTTCTTGCGCAAGAAAAACACTCTTGCGCAATGCCGTTATTCCTGAAAATAATCATAGTGCTCTTTATCACAGCCCTTATCATATTTAAAGATTATCTAGTTTATCTCAGTTGTCCTTTCTCAAGACTAAACAGTCTCAGTTTTTTTAACCTTTCCTTGTTGGTCAGTAAAATAAAATTTAAAAGTTTTTGGCAGAACTTCATATATATTATTTGACAAGAATCCGCACTATTCAGTAAATAGTACATATGTGTTTCCTGTTCAAACACTCACTATATCCAGTCCCTCCTTTAGTAATATGGTCATGGCTAAGTTCTTTTGCCAAAGCTTTGGTCTTACTGTCTTGGGTAGGTGTAGGAGTTTTAGATTCCTTCCATAAACTTGAGCAGGCACCTGTGATGTCTCCTGTTGGCTTAGTGCTGCTGACTGGCAAGTCACTGTGCTACTCTATGGCTCAGTTTAACCATTTGTAAAATGGAGATGGGGTTTGAAGTAAGGATGTTTAAATGGTTAACCGTTAAACATACCAGTAAGCAGGAGGCTTATCTGTAGATTTAATAGTTAACTGCCCGTTGCTGGCGACCTTTGCTGGCAGCCAGCCATGCCGGGGCAGCCCCAGCAGGACTGGAGGCAGGCAGCAAGTCCAGAGTTAAAATGGTTAAACAACTGTTTTAACATCCCTAGTTTGAAGCTTAATTTCTTAATGTTTGCCAAGAGTGAGATGTCACTGAGCTGCAAAATATTAGTATTAGTAACGTGTGTTTGCAGGTTGAATTGGTCTTAGTCCAGTTGTGCAGCTTATTGTGATATTGCTGCTCCTGTGAAAGCAGATGCCAAGCAAGTCCAGAGTTAAAATGGTTAAACAACTGTTTTAACATCCCTAGTTTGAAGCTTAATTTCTTAATGTTTGCCAAGAGTGAGATGTCACTGAGCTGCAAAATATTAGTATTAGTAACGTGTGTTTGCAGGTTGAATTGGTCTTAGTCCAGTTGTGCAGCTTATTGTGATATTGCTGCTCCTGTGAAAGCAGATGCCAGGTTTATTTCCTGCCTCCATGTGCCTGATGTCTTGCTCTGCTCCTCCCCTCCACCCATTTTGTGATTTCATGGTTTTCCCTTACTGGCCTCTGAGTGTTGCTCTCCTGAACTTTTCCCTTCCTACTGCTCCTTAGCTGCTGCTGCACTTGCATTCCATTCAGACTGCGTTCTCTTCCCTTTGCCACTGAAACCCACTGATCTGCTCCCGCCCTCCATAATAATCTTGCTCTAACTGCGTAAATGCATCTTATTAGTTCATGGGTTCTCAGATGGAGGGGGGGATGTGATACCCTGTTATTCCCCTGTTACTAAATGGGCAGGATCCTGCTGTAGATTAGGTTGAGAATTACTGCAGTAGTATTTGCTTTATTAATTATGTCTGTTGTAATAGTGCCTAGGACCCCAGCCAGGTGATGTGAATTTATGTTTTATACTTTTAGTCCTTAGTGTGAATGGGGTCAAAATCTTTAATGCAGAGTATGTCGTTGAATGCTTCTGCTAAGATTATACTGTTATATGGAACTTTCTCCTTTGCTTATCCACATGTGTAATGAGCGAGCTGGTGCTGCCTAAATATCATCCTCACTCCATAGGAAGCAAATTTCCTAACTGTATCTGGCGATCACTCAAACTATTCATTCACAAGTATGTTAAGCAATGTGAGTCTTTGTTCACTAGGGATGAAATGCAGATACCCCCTTCCTTATACCCAACCCTGTGGGTTTAGGAGGCAATAGAATCCAGTCCCTATAACCAGCAAAAAGGAATAATCTGGAATAGTGGCTACATAATAGCCATAATCTGGAATAGTGGCTACAGTTTACAAGAAAGATTTCTTCCACTGAATGTGTGTAGTCCTGTGGTCTTTCCTTGGGCTGCTTCCAGTGGCAGCTGTCCCTCCCCCCACACCATGCCTAAGTACTGAGTATGCAGAATTACTGTTTGTGTAGCACTGGTTTTTCCTTTTCTTCTCTCATCCATGCTTCTGGCATTAGGCTTTCCCCCTTCCATCCCTTCAATCTTACCACTGTTCATGCAGGAGTGGTCTCCTTTGTATCTCATCACATCAGGAATTCTCCCTGCCTCATTTTGTTATCTTGACTGTTTCACTGTTAATCTAAGTTGCAAATAAATTGCTCTAATGGTTGTGAAGGCCTTTGATCCTTTGCTAGGATATTAAGTCAAATTATGTGAAGTATTTTGGTTGTGCAGCTTGTATAAATGACATTTTGCAAAGTGAGACTGTATGATGAATTGCACTGCATGGAACCCGTCTTCAGTCCATTCAAAATATAGCTTCCAAGATCATATTCCTTGCCTGTTTCTGAAATCACCTCATCCCCTTCCATTTAGGGTTGCCAGATGGTTTAACCAAAAATATCGAACACTCTCCCCCACCCCCAAAAAAAACCCAGGGGGAAAATTCTGTTGAGGGGGGAGTAAAGGAGGGGGGGGGAGACCAAAGTTCTTGATGGGAAAAAAAAGGACCCCGAGAGTTATTAAGCAAAAAACCCCCAAAACAATAAAATAAATAAAATAAAACAGCATTAAAACAGCATGGCCCCTTTAAGTACTAGAGTGGAGAGGTTGAGCACTAAAACCCAGGGAAGGCATTGCTTGCCCTTGCTTCAGGTCTTTTTGCTGGTGGCCATCTTGTTTTCTTGATCGAGCCCCCGCAGATAAGCAGGGGGGCAAGGGGCCGGGGCCCTGGAGGAGGGAGGCCAGGGGCCTTAGGTGTCTTAGGTTTGCAAGGTATCTGGTATTTTCACCTCCTAGCAGGGGAAAAAACCCCAGAAAATATCGGACATTTCAGGTGTCCAGTATTTTCTGAATTTTTTTTACTGGACAGGAGGTGAAAATACCAGACTGTCCAGGTCAATACCGGACACCTGGCAACCCTACTTCCATTGGCACTGACTCCTCCACCATATCAAGTTCAAGCTACCCTATTTTAGACTATTAACAAAAGCAAAGTTTGAACTCCAACATGCTGTGCATTAGCCCTCATTAAAAACTTCATTCTTATTACCTCATCCTTCCTCCTCCAGCTCCCTTTTTTCTTTTCCTTTCTTTTATACCTTTCTTTTAAAAAAAGTACCTTTCTTTTATTAAAAAAAAATTAAAAAACAATGGTCCTGTAACACCTTAGAGACTAACAAAACTAAATAAATAGTATCAATAGTGCAGTATTGATATCTACCCAATTTGAAACTCATGTTGGCAATTTAGATGAGTTGTCTTTTATGCAAGCAAAATAATAATACATTTAGGAGAAAAGCTGAACAAATCATTGAGAGTATAAGATGGGATGATAATGGCCCTACTTTGACACTTTTACTCTTGTTTCTCCCTTTAGTTGGTTTTCTCAATGAATATTCAAGCAAACTAACCTTAAAAATAGCATGATTTCCCTTTGTTCTGTAAACGTTTCTTCAGTTGCAGTATTTTCATGTTGTGGATTGTGTGGGGGCATAACTGAATCTGAGTTAGAAATAACCTGTTCCCTGCATGTCCCAAGACACAGGCAGAAGGTTGGTTCCTAGGTTCAAAAACTGATTAAATTTGAGGGATAAGTTATACTGTGGATACATTTTTTCTGTTTAGAGTCTCTCTATTTTTCATTCCCCAGTGATTTAATTTAATTTTGAAAATATGTCCAGAATGAATTTTTGGGCTCTGGATAGTTCTGTCTACCTTTTGGTCGCGCCACTTTACTGAATTTTTTTACAATCACACTTTTTTATTGACAAATTTCATATAAATAGCAACAATTCAGCAGGTTTCCTGTTTTTCTGCAAGCAGCGTGTACACAGAGTGTCTTGGCTCCAGACAAATACACATGCACCTTTTGTGTTGAAATCTGCATTATTTTTTAATTTTTGCTTCATCTTTGATAAATTTATGAGAAAACAAAAGTGACCTCCTGGAAAAAGGACTTGCATGAATTTTTGGTTTTTCTTCAAGTGAGTTGTTGTGTGTTACCTAGAGAACACCTTCACTATATTAAGTCAAGTAGTTCTTGCAATAGTTTTTTTAAAAATACTTTCAGTAAAAATAACATGGGCTGTTACAAGTGTTTGGGTTTTAAATCACACTTTGGTACTATTCATATCCAAGTGTTAGTGATGTCTTTAGAATGGCGATTGAGTGGTAAGATGCTATTCCTACAATAGGTCATCTCTGGGTGCACTGCCACTAAAGCGAGTAGGGTGATACAGAGAATTTATTGCAAAATCAGGACTGTAACCTGCCTGTTACATGTGCAATGGAGTCATCTTAAATAATGATGTAATCATAAGAAACCAGGCTTGGAAGATAATCTGTTTGATTGCAGTGTTGCCAGCTCTTTGCCATTATCTCAAGTCTTATGATTTTTGGAGGTTTTTTTTTTTTTCATGAAGCCCGATTTCCTGGAATCTTGTGTTACGAGAGGTCTTAAATTAAAGGACCCTATTTTTTTTTTTAATATTTCATGATTTGTAAAACAATCCCATGAATTTGGGGCACCAGATTCATGTTTTTTGAACCCTTGGATTTGACTATCCTGTGATTGCTTGAAAATTCCTCAGGTTGATCTGTGTTTCTGAGAGGGAAAGAACGATGTACCATATCTTATGGCTAACCTGAAATCAAAACATTTTCTTCCACTCCCAGACTTAGCTTTTGACAAAGAAACATAATTTTGGTCAAAACAGGATTCGGCTCATACTGATGTTCATTCTGACAAGGCTGTGCTGCCTTTAATTTATAGACGCAATTAAATACACACTTACATACATATAATCTATTTGTTTTTCAGGTAAAAGAAGTCGAAGAAACTATAGACGAGATGTTAATAAGGCTGGATGAGTTCTGTGGCATGACTGATGTGGTAAGTGATCAGCTTATAACTCTGATTCTCCCCTACTGACACTGTTATCACTTTAAGAGCTCTCTCCAGTAGGTTTCTGAGGAGGCCATGTTGGTAGTGATTTAGAAACCATGCAGCTCAGACAGGGCAGCAGTCAGCAGTGGGGAAGGGAAAAAACACACAAGTATTTCCTGAGGCAGCCATCTTGACTACTCTTCCCTCCCTTGAGATGGTTTTATTACACAGAGCAGTGGCAGTTGAGCCACAAGGTGGCACTCTCGTGCACAAATATTTAAGGCCCTAGAATGGAGCACTATATTTAACTTTCACAGGCTCCATACGGTTCACTGTACAGGCATCTAGGAGATCTCCCGATCTGTTATTCATACATGAGAAAGTGCAACATGCAACATTTACTTTTTGCTGGGTTTTTTTTTTTTTTTTAGCCCTTTCCCCAACTTGGTTGGTATCATGTTATACTTTTTCCACTGAGCTTGACATACCGGTGATAGAATTGTATTTTTTTCCCTCCAGAAAATTTGTCTCTTGGCAATCTTCCCTTTATTTGAGAGAGTTTTACAGAACTTTCTTTGAAGACTCCATGCTTCACTATTTCAATATTTGGATCACTGCCAGGGGGCGGTGCCAGGCAGCTGATGTGGGGGCAGTTATATCATTTATTGAATTTTACTATTTATTTATTTATGGTAGCAGCTAGAGGAATTAGGGCCTTTTTGTGCTCGGTGCTGTACATAACCAATCCATACTCCAAAGAGCTTGCTGCTCCTGTGTGAGATGAAAGGCAATAGGGATGGGTGCAAAAGACAAATGGGGGGGAATACAAGGTAACACAGGGATGATTGACTGTGTGATGAGCAGCAGTTACACCATACAAACTCCCGGGTCATTGTCATTGCTTAATCATTTGTGATGCACTTGAGAACAACAGGAGAGTGGATGAGATACAGTTGGGCCAAAGAAGGATATCGCTTTGCTGCTCTGTGGTCTCCTGCACAGATAGCCTGCATGCAGCTGGGTCTATGTGGACATGGTGTTTATAATAAATAAACCAAATGTCACTTTTCAGACCACTTTACTTCTTCCTTCCTTTCCCATAATGTGGAAGAGTTCAAATTGACTAGGGCAATCCAGAGCTGCAGTGTGCATCCTCCTTGCCCATTAGAGAATAGGACATTTCTTGTAGGGTTTCTTTTATAGCTCGATATTCTGGACCATATCTGAATAGAAGGATTGCCTCCTTTCCTAGTCACAAATATGCAGACAGTCTCCCTGTCTGCTGGCAGCCGTACACATTCCTCCTCCCTACCCACTTCCACTGCATACATCGCTGTGGCAATTACATCAGTTGTTTACGTGGGAAAGGGATATTGGGTAAGTGTTGAGAATGTACCTTTAACAATCTTGGTAAAGATATGTCTCAGCTGGAAAGCAGGAGGAGAGCCAGTGCTATCTGACCAGCCAACAGACTCTTCAGGAACCATTGCTTCTCTGTGTGATTCTTGGGAATTATACAGCATAAATTGAAAGGGGCAGGAAGAAGTTCTCTCTGTCCAAGATCTCCTGTGATAATCAGGAGACGCTATGGGAGAGTGGGGGCATTAGAAGGTCAAGGTTGCTTGGCAGTTGCAAAGCAGGTATTCCCATTTTATATTTTTTTAAGTGCAAGTGAAGGGTCTGCTTGCCCGACCTGCAGAGTAAATCCTCTGCTATCTGCTTAGCACATGTAGAACATGCCTTGTGGTAGGTGACTAGGATTCATCACCAAATTTGGTCCATTGGTTGGATCATTAGCTTCCTTGGCCCACCTGATCACTCATGCGGAGGGCAAAGTGACCGTTGATACATGACCCTGTGAACACATACCAACAGGCAAGCATGTGAACATCCTCCTACTGCCCTGCCTATACGTCTCACTGTTGGTTTGGAGACAGAATCACTCTCCAGGACATTGGGTCCTTTGGCCTCACAGTGGGATAATCAGTCCTGGCAGATTTCTTAAGGACAAAGCCTACTTAAAAACTTCAGTACTGATAATTTTCGGAAGCTTTCCGCAAATTGGATACTGGAGCACTGTGTCCACTTACCACCTCTTTTCCTGTTCCCCCTCAACATTGAGTGTAGCTGAGTCAGAGACATCGCTGTTTGTCATGGAGAGAAAGTATCATTACTTTCAGAAGAAATGACTTAGCATGTTGATAAACAAGGGAGAGGTCTTCCAGGGTTTCTGAGGAGTTCATAGGAGAAACATCTTGGAAGTACAGTTCAGCAGTAATGGGCATTCACACAATACTGTTTCCATTCTGCTTTTGACAAACATTGCTGTAAAGGAGCATATGAACTTCCAAGATCTGAGTATCTTGGCATGCAAGATATATATATAAAAGATGTTCTAATATGGCATTTATAATCTATCCAAAGCATAGTATGTTCTGTCCGCTGAGAGAATTCACTGTTTCCAAGACCATAAAGCCAGTTTAGGTCTCTTGTAAGGACTGTTTCAATTCTGCCAGGAACTGCTGAAACCAAGTGACTAGAATAGGTGATCACTGCTGGTGATTTTGTACTGCTGGTGGTTTTATATCAGATGACACAAAGGACAAGGAAATAAATAGTCCATCTTTCATCTGGATTTGTCCTGTGAGTGATTTTCATTAATGCTTCTTTGAGCACTGAGTTCTTTTGCCCGTTGGTCAGGAGCACACCTTAAGCTGTTGGCTGTATCCTGTAGGAAATTAGAGCTAGTTCAGGTGGGGGGTCTGTGAGCTTTTAGAGCTCCCATGAGACTCTGTCTTTCCAACCTCCTCTACAGCAAACACTAACCTAGCTCTAACGTCTCAGCTTTGCTTTACTCATGAAAACATTTTTCCACAACCTGCAGGCTATGAATAATTAGCTTGTATTTAGATTATTGACCTTATCTGGGAACATCAAAGAGCTACATTTGTGTGCTGTTTTTGTGTCTTGCAACGCAGTACCTGTACATTTAAACAGTATCTGTGAGTCTGATAACTATCATGCAATCTTTGGTTTGACTCCAACTTTTGTATTTAACAATAATTTGGCATTTTGACACGTCAACAAGAGGCAAGTGGAATTTTTTGTGTTTGAATCAGGTGTTCTACAAAGCATTTACATAAGGATTCCCCCGCCTCCCCCCGCTTGTCTTCATTAGTTACTGCTCTTGAAACCCAAGTTCTAATAGTAAAGTAGTCAGAAGCTAGCCTGGATTCAACCACAGGAAGATGTAGTGTATTAGAGCTTCCATCTTAAGACCACATATGGTGTACCTTGGGGAGGTATAGTACTTTGCCTAAGAACTGAACTGTTCTACTGAATGTGGGGCTGGTAACATAAGCAGAGCAGGATTTTCACAACAACATTTTTGGTGGCCTCAGAGTGTGGCCAGTCTCTCTTGTCCTTACCTCCCTTGGACCTTCAGTGAGAGCCTGCCCCAGGAAAGGTGAGTTTGGAACTCACCAGCCACCTGTGCAGTTCCAGACTCTCCATATTCTGGCCTGGGGGAGCCAATGAGCTGCCCTGGGAGCTTCCAGTGACCAAATACTATAGCCACCTCCAGCACTGTCACTCTCGCCACATGTCTCTAGAGGTGCTGCCCGGAGCCCCCAAGGGAGCTGTGCATTGCAGGGCACCAATCCCTGCTGGCAGTGCCAGCACAAATACCAAGGCAGCACATCCTTCTGTCCTTTGTAATAGCTATTCAGAAGCAACAGATAGGTGCTGCAGGGAGAGGCTGCTGCTTTGCTTTCCCCCCTCCTTTGAAGGCTGTCATGGACACAAAAAATACCTGCTGGTGGCTGTATTTGTATTTGAGAAAAGTATACTTCATTGCACCTCAAATCTTTCTTGAACACATCAGGGTGAAGTTTAGAGTCTTTAGTAGTCTCCCTCTGACACTGCCAGTTTGGGTACTAATCGTGGAGCTTTTTTGATATGTACAACTGTTCTGTAGCATATGGACTTGGACCCAGCAAATTAATTTCACAAAAAACCACCAATTTCATGGCTAGATAAGTATAATTAACAAGTTCTGAGCAGGGTGGGACTTGAATTAGTGATCTATGTATACAGTGTTAATATACTCTCTTCTTTTCCTTCCTGGCATTGTTGGGGTCTTTAAACCCATACTGTCCTTCTTTTATCTTAAAAACAAACCCCCCCCCCCCCCGCCTACTAGCTCGCAGATGTGAAAATTCATAACTTTGGTCTGATTTCTAATCCTTGAAGGGAATGCTTGGAAACCTGAAAATCTCTGCTGGTGCAATCTCTTCATGGGCTGTTTTCCATCAAGTAGAATAGCTAGTATGGTCATCCAGAGTTGGATAGACTTTCCTAGAAATCAGGAACAGGTGCTGATGTCACCACATAGGAGGCTCTGAAATCAGGGATATGAGATACTATAGTTGTATCTTTTCCATCTTTTATTGCAACTACTTGTCTTTTTATGCCAGTGATACCCAGACTGCATAGGAGCTGCAAGTGGCTCTTGAATGTGTCTTCTGTGGCTCTTTGCAGCACATGATAATAAAACAGCATGGTTAATAATTTAATCAAGATGTTTTTACTATGTTATCAACCAGTTGTAGAATACTTGGCCAGTCATTTTGTTGTGAGAATCGTGTGTATAAAATGGTAAATGAAACAATGAATTCACACTACAGTGGCTCTTTTGGGTAATATTGATTGCTAATTTGACCTCTGAACCACTGAGATCTGAGTATAGCTGCTGTAGCTGTCTGTGCTGTGTTTAACCTTTCATGCATGACAGTGACCACGTAAAGTGTTATATTAAAAAACAAAGTCAATAAATCATGAGTGGCATGATGCACTTTTTAGAATTTTGGATCAGGCTTAGAGGAGATTTCAGTGCTACCTTAGTTTATATGCTGCTGAGTAGTTTTATCCCTCATTGGGAGCAAATCCTGAGTTTTTCACAGGGCTCTTCGTGCAGACACCTTTGCATTTTGTTCACATATCATTTG